TAATCAGACAAACAAAATCTAATAAAGGAAGTAATTACGTATTTAGAATACTTGTTGGAGGATATCTTTGGAGTAAACTGTCCATTTGGGAAAACCTCAATGGTTCTTTTATGTCACTTCCCAAGATTATTTCTTTTGTGTTGTGAAATTGAGACTGGAGTAAAATTAATTACATTTCGTTTTCAGTTTATTAACCCTCTGACTTTGTTTCTTTTTATTGTTTATCCTAAAAGACGACAAATTATTTTTACGTTTCGTTGCGTTTTTCTTGTTCAAAACTTGTTTAAATAAATAGTTAGACAAATTATGTATTTCTTTTTTCTATTTCGATGACGTGTCACCCCTTGTTAACTAAATGATAATGCCCATTTACAAGAATGTACTGTATTTAAAAAGCAGGCTCAGAATTATTTCTTTGGCCCTACACTTTTTACCTTTACTATTAACACAGCAGTCAGTATCCAATATTCAATGTTTTTGCCTTGGGCGAAACCTCTACTATCACTCCTGTTCATAAATTTACTGTATTTTGATTAATTCTCCGAAGCCATGTCACACGAGTAACATGAGGTTAGGTTGAGTGACTAGTTCCTTACTTATCTTACTTATCTGTCCTAGCTCTATAAACAAAACAGTGGGGATGAATGAGTGATAAAAGATAGCTTTATGATCATGCAAGAGACACATTAATGTAAGCCAACCAGAAAACAAGTCTAGATAAGATTCAAACTTTTTGTCAACGAGGCGATACTTCAAGAAGTTTGAAACGAAATGTGCTTAGATTTTCAGAACATGTTATATGCAAAGCATCTTCTATAATTTGATTGCAAATTGTCCATTCATTCAGTATATTGGAACCGGTGTTACTGTAATATATAACGATCTTAAGAAGGCATTATTTTTGTGGTATTGATTTTAAGTTGGTACTTGGTGGATAAGTATAGGCTAAGTTGGTACACATTACGGGGCTGTGTACATTGCCTCGTGAACCAGACGCTATTTTTTGTATTATTTTATGTGATGCTCATAACTTAACCCTACTGTATACAACGTTGTTTCCACGTCGTACTTCGTTCAGTATTTTTACTCATTTTGAAATTATTTGAAGATTAAGAGAAGATAAATATCAGCCAACAACTTCACTTGCATTGACTGTAGTTTACACTAGTTCATAAGCCCTCGTACCCAGTGAACAATGTCGGTCGTGTAACGTTGTGAGAGGGTGTGGTATTTGGGCGCGAGGCGTTAACTGCATCATTTGCATTTACTATCGCCGCTGCCATTGAATGATAACAGTTACCAACTCTCTGCCAAGTTCATAGCTTCGGTTCATCAAATATCAAAATAAATATGTTATTTTCTTTGAATTCTTCGTCATGCTTAATAAAGTTGAAACGTTTATCAGGTCTCGCTAACGTCACACTTTATTTAATCGTTAATAACTATTCATAACATTGAACTTATCCGTAAAGCAGCGCCGCGCCGTGTGCTGTTGTGGCGACTGCTCCTCATGTTCAAGTACTTGCACCACTTGCGTCAATCGCTTGCTTCCTCACCGACGCTATTATCCAATCAGCAGCAATCACGATTGATGTGACCAATCAGGGAGACGGCTGACAGATCAGTATCCGGTGCCTCCACCCTCACCACATGGCTCTTACCTGCTGTTGTGTTGTGTCATATGTAATATCAGTAGGTACATTACTAATGTACTGTATTATTGTTTCGGCTGTTCAAAGTAGTTGTTAAACATGAAAGGAGATCGACTGTTACTTGCACAGTCAGTAAATTCTACTTTATAAAATTAAGTGAACACAATTGAGCGACAATCGCACACTCTGCAATTTAGCATCATCAATTAGCATCATCATTTCAGCATTATATAAACCAGGCACGAGACTTAACAATACAGTAGGATAAGAAGTACTCTTTATCTGTTCAAATTAAATTACAATATTAATTATTACAATGTCCTAATATAGTAATCGATTATTTTCCGCGTGGTGACACTGAACCTTGTCAGTTAGCTCTCTTGTTGGTCGTTAGGTACTACTGGACGTGTAATACCAGATTAGTCACAGTTGTCTGTAGAGTACCCAGCTTGCCACAGTGTCTGCGTGTCTGATCAGTTTACAGCTCCTGGACCCCGATATGGTGGACAGCTTAAACGTGGTTTAACATAGATTTGAGGAAAAATATGTATAATCTTCTAATAATTTCGGCAAGAGGTACACCGCTTGAGGACTTGATATTAGTCTGTGGCATGCGATGGTGGATTATCTGGATGGTTCAATGTGTTTTTAAATATACGTGGGTTAGAATAAAGAAACGGCAACACAAATTTGACGTTTAAAACTTTATAAACAGGTAATTTACCGCACAAAGCATTGATAAATGTCAGGTAACGCGAACCATCTCGTCGGTGGATGGCAATTTTCAAGGGCATGTGTTCAACTGATATCAATTTATCAATCTGTGTATTCATAAAAATAACACGGCTACTGCGAAATCCTTCAAAAACATACCCATGCTACCTCGGGTTTATTGGGTTTCCCTGTAAATTTCATCCCAAACGATCCAGTACTTAACGTTAATGAAGTAATAGACGCAAACACAATTCCATACTTCCCTACCTATAGTATTAGTAGGGCTCCCTAAAAGTTTAATTTATCTACTTTTATTCGCACATGGAAACATATTTCTCCAGACATTTAAATAATGCTATGCGATATTGATCATTGTTATAGGCCAACCAATATGGGGAAGAGTGTTAATTCACAACCCAATGTTTCGTGGGCGCACATGAAAAGAGCCCAAAAACTCAGGCAGACGCTTGAAAAGCGCCCGGACCTCCAAGGTCCCTCCCAGGACGGTGCGAAAAGAGCCCGGGCTCTTCCTAGAACTTTCACAACGAGTCTTCAAAGGAGAAAGAACCAATAACACAATTGAAATACATGAATTTATTTACAATATTAAAAGATACACTGTTAACACTATTCGTGCTGTCGACATGTTTGAACATAAAAGTTGCATTTATTTCAATGTTAAGCAATTGCGGGAATTCCCGTCATCAGCACCCAACGTGTTAAAAGATACATTATTAAAATATAGATTATTAAAAGATATTTACATTACTAAAAGATATAGTCTGTTTACCTAACCTAACCTAAACTAAACTAACCTAACCTAACCTAACCTAACCTAACCCAACCAAACACAACACAATTGCAGAACACGAGTTAGCGTCCTCCTCCTCAGGTACCTGTGGAGACCCGGGCTCTTTCCATGCTTAAGATTAGTGAACCTTTTTGGGGATTAAAATTTCGGACTCTTTTCATGTGCTCCGTGTTTCGTGGTGATGATAACCCCCCCCCCTCCCCTCCACAACACAGTAAGGAGCCAGGTGTACGCACATGTTATAACGCTCCCGTGGGCCCTCGCTTACTTTTTGTCATGAAATAACACGTTCAATCTTTCAACATGTTGTTCATCATCAGCGTTTCGTTTTCAGTCCGCCATAAGATCGTACTTGCTTTTAAGTTAAATTGAGAAAATTTTTGTAACAAAATTACACCTATTTTCACAGACTTGCTTTTGTCTATCCGTGTATGAATCTCCTGTTTGTGCTAGTGATTTCCCACCAACGTTCCCCACGAACACTGGAATTTGTGTCTTTTGTATACGCCATACTTGTTGCTAAGAACTACAAATACTACTCAGAACTGATCTTATTTATATAAGTGTTATATCTTAATTAACAATGAGTCGCAACAATACCATAATAATACATTTGTATTATACAAAATGAGCCAAAACTTCAAACGTTCACCCCGTCGTTACGCAAAAATACTAGACTGTGTCAGTTCAAATTTACCATAGGAACAGTGTACACTCTATTTCAGTGATTGTCATTGTCTTTTAGCCGATTAACAATTTTGTTTAGGGTTCCGTCCCAGACTATGAAAAATAGGCGTAGCGCATTTGAACTAGTTATAAGTGTCAAAACTTAGTACATCTTCTATTATATGTAAATAAATATTTTCTCACGATCTTGTAGTTTAATCCGCTGGGTCAAAATATGTAGACTTGTCAAAGATTATATTACACAAAGTCACATAACAACATAAGATTATATAACATATTATAAAGTATACTACTACAGTATTGAGATTCCAATCTCAATAGTGTACGTGGTACTTGAAGATCGGCAATATAATTTGATGTTTCTGTATCTCGCTCATTACCAATTGATGTTCGTACATCCCCTACCCTGGAAAACGCAGTAATGCCTTAGCAAATATTACTAGAGATATACACTTAAACATTATAACAAAGTGAATAGAATAAAAATATCAAGAAAACAAAACGAGTCCGGAGTACCTGTGTGAATTAGTCCTTTAGGCCCACCAGGGACATTATCTCTGTGCTACACCCACATTCGCAGTACTCGAGACCGACAACAATACAGTCAGGGTCCGGGCCTTGTATTGCAATGAACTGTAGTGTATCATTACCACACTTGCCATTACCACCAAAACCACAATTATCTCAGGTGTAATGTTTCCTACGTGTCTCGTGTAGGTTTCAATGGGTTTCCTCCATTGCGACACTCGTACTGACCTTTGTTACTCTGTTTGTCAGACTGGGGAACGGGTTTCGCGTTAATTAAGTACTATATGGTTGTATATTAAAACATATACTCCCAATACTCCCTTAACTTAACAGAAATGGTTTACGGTTTCTGATTAGATCCTAGCGTTCTAGGATGCGAAATAAGGAAACAAACAAAGTATGCGAAATATGGCATACCCGTAGTGTAAACTTTTCTTACAAGACAAGGTCTCGGATCCTTGGATGACGATGTTATCCTCTGCAGTATTTTACTTGTTGCTGATTTCTGCCTTTTGGTCCTCTTCTGACAAGAGAATGCCCTAAATATCTAGATGTTAAGGTACATATATATGTTACCTGTTGTAGCTGACTCTTGTCTCTTGTTGCAGCATATGGTGCAGACAGGCATGACGCCGTCGCCGTACGCCACACAGTTCGCCCAGAACGGCGAGGCTGCTGGTCCTCTGAAGGCGGCGGAAGCTGGTAAAGAAGCTCCCGTAGTGCCTGGACCACCCTTCTCCCCGCCACCTGCCACTCTACCTCTCAACGGCATCGAACAACCCTCCGTAACAATTGTAAGTAACTTCAGCCTATTATGTATTATCAACCTATTTATTGTCGTGCTTGTGTGTGTTCTCCAGTATACGTCAGTCAGCTCAGTTAAAAAAAATATTAGGTAACATTTAGAACCGTTACAATCACAGGGTGTCCACATTGTGGAAAGTCAGGGATAGTCATGGAAAGTCATGGAAAAAAATTCTGGTCATTGAAAGTCATGGAAATGGCAAAAAGTCATGGAAATCCCCAATGATGGGTGGATTTGAAGGGACTTTTTAATACTCTAGGCAGCTGTAACCCTGAATATTGTAGCATTTTTCAGAATGTTTCGCAAATGTACGACAATTAAATTTATAAAAGTTGAATTAGTTTATGAGTTTTGTGTTTCTATTAGTTCATTGTTGTACCTATTGTACTTCATTGTTATCTGTTAATACATATTTCAGTATTTTCTGTGAAAAAACCTATCCAGGCAGTAATATTCGTGTGTGCATGTTATATTATAATGTTCGAGTAAAGTTAGTGAGTCATGGAAATCATTGATAAATGGTCATGGATAGTCATGGAAATTAATGACAAATTTTCTGTGGACACCCTGAATCAAAACCACAAAACTTAAAATATTTTTTTGAAAATATTAGTTAAAATTAACTGAGTATTTATTGCAATCATAATTATATTACACAAAACATTAACAGGGGATAATGTTCTGTGAGGATAATGTGGCTTAGGGGCCATGGAAAATTAATTTATCCCTTAAATAAAATACAAAATAGATATTTTCTGGTGAAAATGAAAACATAACGTTGCATGAACTGTCCGTTTTAAGTCATCCATAGTAAAATGCGTTATTGTACCTTACTCTTATGATGTAAAACATCTCAATCAAACTACGGTCGGTCTTCTGATTACTTTAAACCCTTATCTCACAACTTCTGTTCGAATCTATGTTTTTAAGAATTAATTGCCTCATTTGTTATTTCCTTGAGATAGCTTTATCAACATTTAATCGGCACATTTTAAATGGAAATGTAATTTACACGATATGCCACTGCCATCATAACGTTTGGACGATCCAAAACGCCTCAAAGTATTGCTTATCTTTCATTCATTGGCTCATTTAGTTTTGCTTGCTTAATTCGGTCGTGATTCCACCTCTCTGCTGGATAGTTGTGATAGTTCATCTGCAGAGTTGGTTTGAGGAGCAATGCCGAAGTAGAGATATAGTCCTGCCTAGCTAGGTTGGTTCTGCATTGATCCCAGGTTTATCAAGTGGGCCATCTCTACATTTGCTTGTGGCTGATTCTTGTTATACTTTCGTCTGTTTTATATCTAAACCATAGTCTATATTTCTTAAAACGCTCCCCTATTTATAATAACGCAACAGTTATTAAAGCTACTTCAGTATTGAACAGCATTGTTTTACAAGGGATTCCTATTGAAATTAGTCGATCATTAAGATTGCTCGATTGTGTTTTTAGACCAGTTTAAATTTTAATGCATTACACACTTGCTAAAAATTCCCAGCAATAGACAAATCTACGATTCCCTTATTTGTACATACGAGGCCTAACCATATGCAATCCTCTACAATACTGGACATTCTATAAAAGAACAAAACTTGGTTGCCTGTGCTGGATGATTCGATTTTCATTTTTCCCATTGTTCAACATAGGGTCGGTATCCATTCAATTTGCTGTGATAGACTAGTAAAGTTCCCTTGTGTCGTCTATGTTATCCTCAGCACAGTTGCTTATACCTGATTGATGATTGGCCTTGAGTGTTGAGTGACCGGTCCACAGTGACTGGTCCAAGGCTTGTGATGTTGCTTCACATATAACGTAATGGTAATGTAATGTATGTATCCAGCGGCAAGGCCGACAGGTGGTCTCATACCTGGGGCATCTCACATTCTCCTGTAGATAGATGCTGCAATGCCGTGTTGACTACCTCATTCATTGAATACTCGAATAATGCATAGTCCTTGACACAATTATCTAAGATATACTCACCAATCGTCAATGATAAAACTAAACACTTGCTAAAACATAACACACATACAAAAAAAAAAACATGTGAGTTAATTTTTTATGGGCTGAACTTTGGATCGACTACAGTAGTTGATAATGCCAACGACGTGGCGAAACATATCCTTACCTCCGCATGCAATAATCTGTAGTTGATCGACGGTGGTGAATCATTTCTGTTCCATTACCTGCAGCTGAGGGGCTATCCCAGGCAGTTAAATCACATCTTTCATGTATACCAGGACGGGTATTATTTAAGGTTGGCTTTGAATGTCGTTATACTGTAGAGTAGACTCTTTATAAAATTGATTGCATTTTAAACGTGAATCTTAATATAGCCATACATAGCAATATAGCCTTATTGGACTATCCAATCGAAACACTTATACAGTAATAAATTTGGTGTTAAAAGATTTTTTTAGAACCGCATTAAAATTGTCTAAAATAAAGTAATCACGTTTTGGGCGCTTTGATTTTGTTGTTCTCTTTTACAACAAATATTTGTATGAGTCAACTTCAGGGTTTCCAATTTTTAAAAGTCAATTTAAAGCTGTGCATTTCGTATCCAGGTCGACCTAGCTCTGACGCCAGTAGTCTGGAAAGTTGGCGACAAAATTTGCTCTCCTGGAAAAGTTTGAAGAGTTTTTATGAACGTTGTGCTGATTCCGAGTTGCAACGATAGCGCAACTTGTGCTTTCAATATCGCTACAATCGACCGTTATGCTAACTTTATTATATCGATCTGATATGCGGGGTTTCTTTTCAAACTACCAGTACTATTTTCAGTCTATCCTGAGTCTTCTTCTTCTTATAACGAACAAATATAAGTTTAACTAACATTTGTATTCATGTTAAACTATAGTATCCAATAGCCATTGGTTAAACTTTTAAAATTGGAAATGTAATTTGATAACATAAATTTCATGTTTTTATTACGAGTAAAATTGTATTTCTGACATAAGTTCAAATTGTGAAATTTAATTAAAACTGTAATTAAAATTAGTGAAATCAATAGAATGATATTTGAAGAGTTTGCTACCAATTTAAAACTTGAATAGCTTGATGTTATTTTCATATTGTTTTCACTGTACTCTAAAGTATCTAACTATTTCCACGTAAAATAACATATCTCAACATTTACCTTGCCTTTATCTACAATTCAGATTTGGTGTGTCCAATTTGCTTGGCACGATGAATATATTCCAACCTCGGCCTGAAAATAAATCGTTCATCACGAAAGTATATCAAATGAATCAAAAGTAGGTTAGGACATGTGGACAACTTGTTCGTTGGTAGATGGTAAAAGTACGCCCAAACGCCCCAAACCTCGCCGCTTGTGAAATACAACTTCGCACCATGTAATTCTCGCGGTGCGTGATACGTGCTCGGTGCTTGGCCTTAGCTGGCTTTCGTGTTACCTAACAAATCATAGTAAAGCTCCACATAGAAGTCAAGATGGCCGACCACTAGACTAGCTAGATAACGTACGTTGAGATATACTTGTGTTTACGACGATGCTTTCTTTTGTGTTTGATCGTCAGTGGTCACATTTATGTCATTGAACGAAACAAAATATTCATCTGTAAGCACAGTACGAAAATAGAGTAATCATTAAAAATGGTTTACCATCGATATTTTCAGAAGTATGAAGACAGCAATGATGTCCATTTGATATAGTTTACAATATCCTTGTGTAAATTACATTTTGCTTTAAACCGCATAACGAAAGTGCAGCCCCTTTGTGAAACTAGATTCAATTTCAAATTAATTTCTTTTTGAATGCGATTATTATGAAAGCCTTAATTGCATTCTGCCAGGTATTTAGACGCAGTTAAAATCTATTATTTTGAGAGTACTCATGTGATAATCGATTGGTTACCAAACTTCCTATCGGCTGTTGTTGATGTAGAATTATTGTTTTAAATGCTAGAATGCAGCATTACAATATTAGTATTATCAACATTTACGCCTTGTACAGCTGTCATACAAGTCGATATTATTATTTAAATTGTCATATTTTATCGTGAAAGGCACATCTGAGCCCAGAAGTTGGGACTCGTATTACTGCATACCTATCTATCTAAGAGGACCTTGAAACGTATTGGACATTTATTTTATCTTCGGCCAACGACAGGACAAGGAAAATCAATGGAAAGTTATATCCAACTTTTAATAACGGAGAGTTTGCCAATTAAACTGTTACTCGTTAAATATTTACGGAAAGAATTGCTGGCTCATATCCTAACGTTATTAACTTTGAACTTCCTCGAGCAAACTAGCATTTTATGCATCAATATTCAGATTATTAATAATTGTGAAATAAACTGTTTAAGGGGATGGACATGGAAATTTCCTCGGAGTCAATTTTAATATTTTTCTGATTAAAATTTACTTATTTATTGTAACTTTGCAAGAAAATCTTTAACATAAAACATGATAATTATGTTGTATTCCACATAGCTTGAATAATACAGGGTGTTCATTTGAAAACTTTCCATATCTGTTGTGTGCAAAGGTAAGGCTTTTAACACTTGTTTGTTCTCATTTCCCCCTAATTTGGACATGCCAAATCCAATAAAATTATTTTCAATTTTGAAAAATGCCCCAAAAGGGCCCAATTTGGGGGGTAGGGGTGCTTTTTGAGAAATTTTCAAATGTAAACATGGGTTGTGTGATACATCAATTTAAAGCTCTAATCACCCCGATCATTTTGGTGCAAAAAAAGTTTAATTATCTTTAACCGTATTTACAGGGTGGGTCAAAACGTTTTAAAAAAGGACTTTGAAGTTAAGTACCGTATTACCCTAACTACTGAACGGAACAGCGCCAAATTTCTTTCCAAGCTTATTCTTGAGCTACTCTTTAAGATAACTTGTAGTAAGGGCATTTTCCAAGTTATTTTCTAATTTTTAAAAAATCTCAAATTTTAAGAATAAAAGAAAGCTGAAAACTCAAAATTCTTAAATAGCAAGGTATAACAAATTTCATACCACGTGAAAGGTCCTTTTTTAACAAACATTTTATGTATTTAAGTTTTCTTTCTATCTCTTACCGTTTAAAAATTGCAGTAGAAAAACATAATTTTCTGTGGTAAAATTGCAACTAGTTTTCTAATAAAACAGCCAAAATTCGTCTCTAGACACATTAAATGGTGCAATAACTGAAGGAAACAATTCATAACACTGAATAGGATTCATAACAAATTGATCGACTACTTTTACGTGTGTCAGAATTCATCTTGGACCCCTCATCCTGTTCTTTTCTCATTGGTAACTGAGCCAGTTTCAGAAAACTTCCTAACTAAATCATTTACAGCCATATGACTCAAGGTTATACCTGGATATCTATTGTTAAACACTTTGCAGTTATCCTGGAACACTTTTGTTATGACCAATAAGTAAAATAAAGTATATTTTTTTAAGTTTACACCATATTTGATTAGGTACTACAGGAAATGGTACTTTTGAAATTAGTACTACCATTGACTAGTCAATGGTACTACAGAAAGCGGCCCACGCTTGGGTTTTTCTCATCAGCTATAAAACTTGTTTCTCACAAAGTAAAACGTAATGACTTGTTTGCCTATCTGCCTTAAAATAATTATGAATTGTTTCCTTCAGTTATTGCACCATTTAATGTGTCTAGAGACGAATTTTGGCTGTTTTATTAGAAAACTAGTTGCAATTTTACCACAGAAAATTATGTTTTTCTACTGCAATTTTTAAACGGTAAGAGATAGAAAGAAAACTTAAATACATAAAATGTTTGTTAAAAAAGGACCTTTCACGTGGTATGAAATTTGTTATACCTTGCTATTTAAGAATTTTGAGTTTTCAGCTTTCTTTTATTCTTAAAATTTGAGATTTTTTAAAAATTAGAAAATAACTTGGAAAATGCCCTTACTACAAGTCATCTTAAAGAGTAGCTCAAGAATAAGCTTGGAAAGAAATTTGGCGCTGTTCCGTTCAGTAGTTAGGGTAATACGGTACTTAACTTCAAAGTCCTTTTTTAAAACGTTTTGACCCACCCTGTAAATACGGTTAAAGATAATTAAACTTTTTTTGCACCAAAATGATCGGGGTGATTAGAGCTTTAAATTGATGTATCACACAACCCATGTTTACATTTGAAAATTTCTCAAAAAGCACCCCTACCCCCCAAAATGGGCCCTTTTGGGGCATTTTTCAAAATTGAAAATAATTTTATTGGATTTGGCATGTCCAAATTAGGGGGAAATGAGAACAAACAAGTGTTAAAAGCCTTACCTTTGCACACAACAGATATGGAAAGTTTTCAAATGAACACCCTGTATATATGAGTAGCCTAAATTGTATGTTTCAATGCCGCCTTTGTCGGCGAGGTGATCTGAGGACAATGTATCGTTAAAGTATTTTGTCACATACGCAAGCTTGACCAGTGACCGATTTGTTTTGTTTTTATTTTATTTTTATGTCCCAGGAGGCCAAAAACACTATTTAAAATATTTATTTATGTGTAACAGTGTCCGTTAAAGCGATAACTCGAGTAGTTTTTGTACGATTGTGACTACATTTGACATAATGTGCGGGGCTGTCGTGTATACACTTGGATGAGTTCGCGAACCAGCAGGTCTGGGTTATATGATCGGCGTGTTATGGGGGGTTTGAAAATCAAAAACATGGGGGTTTCCAATTTTTACAGTTTGAAGTGTTAAAGGTGGGGGCGTAACGGGGAAAAGGGAACAAAAAACTGTTCATTTAAAATCTCCGTGTTATTTTTATGGAGTAAAAGTAAACAGTTGTAGTTTTCTTGTTTATGGATATATTTTGATATAATTTGACCGATATCTCATACCATACTGTTAAAATTATTCTTAAAACAATGTTCATTCCCTGTAGCAGCAAACCCAAGTTCCCGTTAATTGTTATGATATTAAGGTCTATTTACTATACAGATTAGAAACATATTTCGTGACTAATTTTAATTTACGGAACATCGGGACCTTTTTAAAAAATTAAGAAATTTTCTTTCCATTAATATAATGTTTATCAGTATTTGTTCACTTGTGAGGTCAATGCATTTATTATAATCTGTTGAATCATAAACACCATGTATTTTTGTCAAAACCCGTTCAGAGAAATGGAAAGTCACTTTTAGGTCTGGAGGTTTACTGCGACGACGGGGGTATAGTATTTTATCATCAAATAATAATCAGATTGAAGGGATAGTAGGCCTAGGATCGAGGTGCTGAGTGCTGACTAGTGGAAACTGATAATGAAATCCCGCGATACACCTCCACCCCGGAAGTGAGTGAGTGGAGGTGTATCGCTGGCCTCGGGTTGTGTGGGAGTTGTACAGTATACTGTATACTGTATAGTGTATAGTGTATAGTGTGTATTGTACCGTAGGGTGTAACAATCAGTCCTGGGAACAGCACAATGCCGCGCCACGCCGCGATCCCTTTGTTACAGTAAATTGTTATTTGAACCGAAACAGGGACAGGATTCCGAATCTGAGATTTTATTTGGTACGGTCTGCAGCTTTATCATCAATATACTGTACTTCCATTCTCATCCGGTCCTGTAAATGAAACATCCGAACGTTCCATCTGTATCCGTGTTTAAATGTTGTTGTTTTGTTACTGCCACACAGACATTATAACAGAAACGTTATGAATCATAACATATTATCATAATACACAAATGAATCTGGCCCGAATATTTTACTAATAACTAATATCTGGTTTGGAAGTTTTGGACAGTTCTGTTGCATTGAAATAAAAAAATGTGTTTACTTTTGGGCCACTGGCATAATTTGTTTTTGTTTATTAAACATACCGCCTGTTCTGTGTACTGCCAGGTTACAGCTTGGTCTTGGCAGGATATTTATGAAGAAAATTTCAAACCATAAAATTAAAGCCGCGTGAGTCCTCAGGATCGTTTAGTTTGTTTTGCCCGTAGCAGCCTACTATGCAATAATGTATGAGCCACATCAGTTCTATTGTTCTAATGTTTTAACTGAACGTTTACAACCCCGTTTGAGGTTATTTTTCCAATTTACTTATCTCCCCGTTGTCTGTTTCAGAAGGAACAGAGACCACCATTTACCGAGACAGTTACAGTAAGTACACTACTTCTTATCTGTTTGCATCGTATATTTATTCATTTGTAAAAATAATATGTTTTATATGGAGATTTCATAAACTCTTGCATTTATGTCTATCATATATCATTAGTGTTACGCTGTTTTACAAATACTTTAAACCTAATATAAAACTAATCGGTCGTGAAGAAATGACAAGTCGACACATACAAACAACCCGTAATGGTATACACAAACGGGGACGGGGAGATATCGTCCATTGTTGCGGGCTTAACGGGTTCTTTACATTAAAAACATGGCGATTTTATAATAACTATTTATTTACACTAATTATTCTATATTTACATATATTAGAATTACCTAACACCTAACTAACCCTATCTAACCTAGCTAAAGCCTATTCTTATTTACAATGATTCTACTTACAGCTAACCTTTACAGGATTTATCACTTCTGTTACAACACTGTCACTACACTGTCACTAGAGTCACTACACTGTTACTCTCACTGTCACTACACTGTCACTGCCACTAGCACTAGCACTGGTCACTAACACCGACGGGCACTTGCTGCGACGATTCTCGGAAGGCTCAACTCAACTCAACTGAACTGCCGTGTGCCGGAAGACGGTCCCTTATATAAGTTTGCCGTGGAACATTCTGGAGACCCCTGGTAGCCTAGACAAAGGTGTTTACGCCGTAGAAGTGTAGAAGGTTCTAGGGCCCCTATTGAGGTAGTACGTTGACATGGGTCTATTGTCTATCAGTGGTGCGCTAGGAGAAACCCGTGTAAACAAACAACCCTTTTGAGACGGCGCCTGGCTATTGTTGCGCGGGGCTCCTGACTTGTAACACTACCCCCTCCTTAAGACTGTTCTGCCCCAGAACAGATTTCTCTCGAAGCTTGAGATCTTCTGGACCAATATCTCCGGTCCCCCACGGGTTGAATACGCAGACCACAATGTCGATGCCAGTGTCCTCGAAAAGTTCCTGCACCATATTTCTTACAGTCTTCCATTCCAGTCCGTCGTAACCACATCCCAGTCTTGGAATGGCAAGCTTTTTGATTCCAATCCGAAGAAGCTTGTCTCGCAGGTCTCGCAGGCTTTTCTTCAACGATTCGTAGGAGGGCTTCTGGCTTGACGCTTCCTTCGTAACGAGGTAGAACAAATGCTGTCCATTGCGCTTCAGGTGAAGAGTGGTGCCAATGGCGGGTCTCTGACGCTCAAGATCTTCAGTCCCTCCAAACTTTTTCCTGAAGACTGTGGCTATACCTCGCGACGCTCTCAGGTCTTCTGCTACGCAGTGGGCCAAGGCATAATCCACTGGCAAGGTGAAGAGGTCCTTATATAACAGTTTCAATTCCGCCTTTCCACGTTTCTCGGGCACGACGTCTCTTGGTTCGGTTGAGATGTTGCGAACCTGTTGTTCATCTTGTTGGCCGTGATCTCCTTTGTAGGGTGCAAGCCTGTTGAAATGGACTATTTTGGGTTTGCCATTTGGTCGCTTCTTAATCCGGTAGATGACGTCATTTAGACGGGAAATAACTTCATAGGGTCCTTCCCAAGAGTTCTGGAGATTTGGCGAATATCCACGACGCCTTCGGGGATTGTGTAGCCACACGAGGTCTCCAGGTCTGAACCCTCCTTTCTCGGCCTTCACGTCGTACCTCTCCCTCATCCTGTCACTTCCTCCAGATATGATGCGACGGACTTTCTCGTCCATCATCTTCCCGTTCTTTGACAAGGGAGCCACATCCTGCCACGATGGTCTTCCTTTATTATCCATCTTCCACTGCATAATGTGCCTTAGTTCTGGGTCCCCCTTCTGGTCCTCTGAAAGCTTCTTCTTGTCCTTTTTGTCGTTAATGACGGTCGCACGACGCACCGATGCGCTATAGTCTTCCTTGCGCGCACAATGATTGCCGCTGTCTCCACATTGTCTTCTGAAGAGTACATCCACCTTCTTATGGCTCGGCCCAGTGCGATGATTTGACCCGAAGTCATACTCCTGCTTCGATCCTGGAGGGGTTGAATGAGGTTTACTCCGGGGACGCCCCATCTCTCCGCAGTTCCAACAGCGTTCCTGCTGGTGACGATTTTTGAGTGCCTCCAGAACTCTCTCTACCAGGTCCTCGATGACCAGTGGAGTTGTAGGTTCTGCGTCTGCCACACGGACTCGAGCCTGACCTCCCACCGACTGCCATACAGCCTCGAACTCCAGTGCCTGTGTCAGTGCGTCACTCAGTGTTTTTGGTCTGGCGAGCTTCACTGCCTGTTGAGTCTCAGGTTCACGTAGTCCGTCTAGGAAATTATCCACTGCCAAGCTCTCGTAGACATCATCCGTGACCGAAGGATAGGCGTTTCTCACCAGGCGAGCAATGTCGGCTTCAAACTCCTGGAGTGACTCACTGGGCTTCTGGATCCGGTTCCGCAGTTGTGATCGGTAGAGCTGGTCCATATGTCGATGTCCAAAGCGCATGTCCAATCTCCTTACTAATTCTGCGAAGTTCTTCCGCTCCGCCATTGACATAGCATGCAGAACAGCTAATGCATCACCCCGTAGTGCAAGACACAGTGTCGAAGCTTTTGTCTCCTCAGTCCATCCATGGACCATAGCCGCTGTCTCGAATAGAAGCATGTAGTCCTCCCAGGGAGTCTTGCCATCGAAGTGAGGAACGATGTTCTGAGGGGCAACGGCAGCAATGGTGGGCGCTGGCTTGGAGATCGTTTCTAGGGCGTTATCCTGCTGAAGTTCGCCAGTGCTAGCCGATGACGCAGGTGTGAAGCTCCCCGATGTAGCCATTTCCTGCCTAAGCTTAACTAACCTATCTTCTAGATTTTTTTCTATACAATTAAATTTCTCATCTATTTCATTCATCCTACTTTCTAAATCATCAACTTTGCTAGAATACTCATCTAACTTGTTTAGCATTTTCGATTCTACATTTGACATTTTTGTTTCAATATTAGCTTCAAGGTTTTCTAACGCTTTACTAGTTTCTGACATTTTTGACTCTAATGTTTTGCTATTTTCTAACATTTTTGACTCTAATGTTTTGCTGTTTTCTGACATTTTTGACTCTAATGTTTTGCTGTTTTCTGACATTTTTGCCTCAATATTAGCTTCTAGGTTTTCTAAAGTTTTACTATTTTCTGACATTTTTGACTCTAAGTTTTTAAGCATTTTATTGAAATCAGATGTTTCAAATAAAACGTTATCTAGGTCTTCACCTGCATCAATTAAAGCTTGTTTAAGGCGTGCCTGAAGGGCTGATTTAGTTCCACTAGTATCTAGATCTCGTTCTTCTAATTCTCTCCTAAGATCAGCTACTTTTAATTCATCAAGTTTTACACCTTTGAAAGCCATTTTTATGCAAAACAATTACAATAATTTTACAATAAATGATTTTATTCTTTGTAAACAAATTTACGACACAAATTACTAATATGTAACAAAGACCTTGAATCTTACTAATATCTAACAAAATCCTTAATTCTTTTTTTACAAATAAAATCGCCAAAATAATGCCGCTTTCTGACACCAATTGTTGCGGGCTTAACGGGTTCTTTACATTAAAAACTTGGCGATTTTATAATAACTATTTATTTACACTAATTATTCTATATTTACATATATTAGAATTACCTAACACCTAACTAACCCTATCTAACCTAGCTAAAGCCTATTCTTATTTACAATGATTCTACTTACAGCTAACCTTTACAGGATTTATCACTTCTGTTACAACACTGTCACTACACTGTCACTAGAGTCACTACACTGTTACTCTCACTGTCACTACACTGTCACTGCCACTAGCACTAGCACTGGTCACTAACACCGACGGGCACTTGCTGCGACGATTCTCGGAAGGCTCAACTCAACTCAACTGAACTGCCGTGTGCCGGAAGACGGTCCCTTATATAAGTTTGCCGTGGAACATTCTGGAGACCCCTGGTAGCCTAGACAAAGGTGTTTACGCCGTAGAAGTGTAGAAGGTTCTAGGGCCCCTATTGAGGTAGTACGTTGACATGGGTCTATTGTCTATCAGTGGTGCGCTAGGAGAAACCCGTGTAAACAAACAACCCTTTTGAGACGGCGCCTGGCTATTGTTGCGCGGGGCTCCTGACTTGTAACACTACCCCCTCCTTAAGACTGTTCTGCCCCAGAACAGATTTCTCTCGAAGCTTGAGATCTTCTGGACCAATATCTCCGGTCCCCCACGGGTTGAATACGCAGACCACAATGTCGATGCCAGTGTCCTCGAAAAGTTCCTGCACCATATTTCTTACAGTCTTCCATTCCAGTCCGTCGTAACCACATCCCAGTCTTGGAATGGCAAGCTTTTTGATTCCAATCCGAAGAAGCTTGTCTCGCAGGTCTCGCAGGCTTTTCTTCAACGATTCGTAGGAGGGCTTCTGGCTTGACGCTTCCTTCGTAACGAGGTAGAACAAATGCTGTCCATTGCGCTTCAGGTGAAGAGTGGTGCCAATGGCGGGTCTCTGACGCTCAAGATCTTCAGTCCCTCCAAACTTTTTCCTGAAGACTGTGGCTATACCTCGCGACGCTCTCAGGTCTTCTGCTACGCAGTGGGCCAAGGCATAATCCACTGGCAAGGTGAAGAGGTCCTTATATAACAGTTTCAATTCCGCCTTTCCACGTTTCTCGGGCACGACGTCTCTTGGTTCGGTTGAGATGTTGCGAACCTGTTGTTCATCTTGTTGGCCGTGATCTCCTTTGTAGGGTGCAAGCCTGTTGAAATGGACTATTTTGGGTTTGCCATTTGGTCGCTTCTTAATCCGGTAGATGACGTCATTTAGACGGGAAATAACTTCATAGGGTCCTTCCCAAGAGTTCTGGAGATTTGGCGAATATCCACGACGCCTTCGGGGATTGTGTAGCCACACGAGGTCTCCAGGTCTGAACCCTCCTTTCTCGGCCTTCACGTCGTACCTCTCCCTCATCCTGTCACTTCCTCCAGATATGATGCGACGGACTTTCTCGTCCATCATCTTCCCGTTCTTTGACAAGGGAGCCACATCCTGCCACGATGGTCTTCCTTTATTA